TAAATAAATAAATAAATAAATAAATAAATAAATAAATAAATAAATAATTAGATAAATAGATAAATAAATAAATAAAGGAATAAATGAATGAATGAATGAATAAATAAATTAATTAATTAATATGAAGGACAAGATTTTAGGAGAAGAGACATAACACATGAGTCAAATTATGTTGTAAAATGCAAGATTACCCTTCTTCTTGGATGAAAATCCCTGAAGACAGTAGATAACACGGGGGTGTACCAATTCTAACTACAAAACACAAAAAGGATCTTTTCTTGCTGATACACAGGATACCTGCAAATTCCCTAGTAAACTTTACATCCCAGTGAGATGAACTTTTCTCCACTAACAAATCCCATCTGCACCCCTCAGTCCTAAACCTGAATATAAATGTAGATGGTTAACTGTCTTGCTTCTCTTCTAAAAGGTTAACATTAACATTAATCCTCAATTTTAAATATTGAAAAATGCACATTTTCATGCTAGCTTCATTGTGTAGCTTAAATTATTTTTGTCTATTTCTTTTTTAAAATTTATTCATTGTATATCCTGTCTGTAGCCCCCTCCCTCAACTCCTCCCAGTCCTACCCTCCCTCCCTCTTTCTTCCTATCCTCTTCCCTTAGTCCACTGAAAGGGAGAGTTCTCCTCCCCTACCATCTTCCCCTAGTTTATCAAGTATCATCAGGACTTCCTGGATCCTCTTTCTCTGTGGCCTAGCAAGGCCGAGATGAAATTACTTTCTTAATTTTCAATTTTTGAAAATTTTACACATGACTACTCTCTTTTCACTATTTCTACTTTTCTCTACCCCTTTTGATATCTGCTGCACCCTTACTCCCTCTCAAATTAGTGATCTCTTCTTATTTTTACACACACAAACACACACATACATGTACATACACACACATGCATTTATACACACATATACAACACTGGTAGCTTCATTTAGCATTTTAATACATGTATGTTTAAGAATGACTACTTGGGAATTGATAACATATCAGGAGGCTTATTCCTGGAGAAGACTGATTCTCCCTCTCTTAGTAGACATTATTTTCCTGTAGTTCTTCATCTTGGAGAAAGATGGTGTGAGATATCCCCCACCCATGTTCTCATGCCAAGTGGTGTTGTCACTGTGTAGGTGGTATTTGGGGGACCATATTGTTGATATTTCATAGTTACATCTTCCCAGTGTAGAAGACGCTGACTCACAGCAGATGTCTTGTTCCTCTGGCTCTTACAATATTTCAACCCCTCTTCTGAGATGTCGTGAGCCCTAAGTATGGGCATTGTGCTGTAGATTTATCAACTGAATCTAGGCATCCCACAATTATTTGTTCCCTGCATTTTGACCAGTTGTATTAGCTGTGGTAGTCTCCCTCTGCTCCAAATGAGGTATGGAGGCTACATTTATCTATAGGTATAAGGATAAACATTTAGAATGCAGTCAGAAATTATACTTTCTGATTATTTTTGAGATTGTATTTTTCTTTCTCGTTCCTGTGCCCAAACCCTCCCATGTGCCCCCTCCATGCTCTCCTTCAAACGCATGGCTCTTTTTTCATCTGTTGTTATTGCATGCATACACACACACATGTGTGTGTGTGTATGTGTGTGTGTGAGTGTGTGTGTGTGTGTATAGGTACCTATATATACCTATATATACATACATATATATATACCTATATATACATACATACATATATATATATATATATATATATATATATATATATCTGAACATATATATATAATCCTAAATAAAACCTGTGAGGCTGTGTGCTTTTTTGTATATATGCTCTCATGCTGACCATTTGGCACTGTACAAGAAGTTGATATTCTCTTCACTGGGGAGAGCCATTTCTCCCATTCCCAGTTTCATTCAGTTACTTGTAGTTCTTTGAGGCCTCATGGGTATTTCCCATTCAGTTTGACAGTGTTTGTTTGTTTGTTTGTTTGTTTGTCCTCCTTGTTAGGCTCATAGTTGGGCAGTCATGTTGTTGAGACTCCATAGTGTGAAGTGTCAGATATTACTAGGAGACAGAATCTCACAGCAAACTCTTTTAACATCTTGCTCTTACAATCTTTCTGTCCCCTCTTGAACAATGTTTCCTGAGCCTTAGGTGTGGAAGTGTTTTGTAGTTGTATGAATTAGGACTTCAGAAACCTGCAACCGATCAATAGTCAGAGTTGTGGAGCCAAGACCCAGTAATTAGAAGCTATACCAGTTTTTACAGAAATATGATATTAGTAAGTTCTCATCTAGAACTCATAATCTTTAAATTATTTTTAATTAAATAGATTCATTTGATGTCAAGAGTCTCCCTCTACTACTTCACCATCTTATTTTATGAGGTGGTACCTCTAATGGAGCTTGAAGGTCACTGTTTCATCTAGACTGACTTGCCACCAAGTCTTCAAGAACCGTCTCTCTATCCTTTCCCAGTGCTGTGGTTACAGTCATGTACTTCAGAATTGAGCGTTTGTACTTGGGTGTTGAGAATCTGAACTCGCTTTGTCACATTTGTATAGAAAACCCTTCACATGCTCTGCCATCTCTCTGGCCCAGTTCAATTCATTTTGCCAAATTTGTCTGTTCACATTAACTGCACTCCTAAGACGAGAGATTCTATGTTCTACAAGAGAGGCTCCCAAGACCATTCTCGGGCCTAGAGAGTTGCTGGAAGGAAGGGCACCACAGTTTAGCACACAGTCTAGTGTCAATGATTTACTATTTGGAAGTGAAATAATTCAACATAAGCAAAGCAAAGGCGTGGATAGTGATGTGTGGAAGACACATGCAAGCTTCCGACAGTCTTGCCCCACTGGAGTCAAACATGATGAGCCTGATTCCTCTGACAGCAACTGCAAAACACCCATGAGGCTCACAGGCATATTCTTCATTGCCTGGGTAAAAATTTCAGGCTGCAGTAAAGGAAACAATAATTTAGAATTTAGCTTAAATAATTGTTTGCAAAAGTTTAAGCTGATGAGCAAGGCAGGCCCCCTTTCTAAGGATTAGATCTCAAACTTGATACCTGATCAGTTCTATATCTGGACAATAAATCAATCCTAAAAGGAATGACAGATATACTTTCTATTGAAGTATATTTTTTCATCTGGTGATTTGTGTATACGGAATCACACTAAATTATATAATGCGATTTAATGGTTCAATTTTCAAAAAATATTTGATACTTTCTAAAAATCATGAGTTTTGGTCTATTCTTCATCTTACACAACAGGCCCTGTGAGGTAGCTCAGACACACTGGCCACAGCTACTGTGAGATAACCTTCACAGGCCACCCGGAAGAATAGTGACGTCTGTGGAAAGTACATAATGGACAACTCTAGGGGAAAATTCAGAATGACTGGAATTGAGAGCTCACCCATTCTGAACTTGAGATGAAGCAAGGATGGCAGATTTAGATTGATCTGAAGCAAGAAGAGAGTCTCCTGGAAAGAGCATTTTCATTTCTGTAATATTTTTATGGTTCCTGGCTCATGTGCCCAACATGCTTTCCCTCTCTTCTTTGTTATTAAAAATCCTGCTCATCTTCCGGAGTCTGAGTAGACATCCTTGAGTCACTTCCTCCAGTCACCCTTCTGGAAGTGAAAACTTTACTGTTTTTTGTTTGGTTGGTTGGTTTGGTTAGGATTTTTTTTCTATTTTGTTTTCTATAAGAACTTATTATTTTATTTTTTTGTTTGTTTCTTTTCAGTTTCTTTTCAATACATCCTGACAACTCACCTCCCTTCATTTCTTCTAGCTCCTGCCTCCCCAAATTCACTTCTCCTTGAAAAAAAAAAAAAAAAAAAAAAAAAAAAGCAGGCTTCCAGGGATATCAGCCAAATAAGACATAACAAGATCAAATAAGAGGAGGCACAAACCCTCATATCAAGGCTGGACAAAGTAACAAGGTTTGTGGACCTGGATCCACCTTCCAGCAGCCTGGCCTGCTCTTCACCTGACCTGCTTTTCCATCCCCTGGGCCTGAGACTCACCAGGTCTGTATTTTACCTGCAAGCCAGCAGGCACAGGCCTAGAATGAGGTCCAGGTTGGCTTAGGCAGGGCCAGGGGCCTGAAAGGCAGGTGGGATCAGAGGGATCACAAGCTTGAATTGCACAGAGATGTATCTGGTCAGAAGGCCTGTTGTTAACATTGGCTGTGGTCCTATTTAGACTCCATGGCTGAACTGTGTATCTTATCCCCATGGGGTGTTGTCTCCTAGGGCCTGATTTCCTGTTGCAGGCAGTTCTCTCTGACATATGCTTCCCACTGTATAAAGAGTGGGCCAGGCAGGGAGGAGCAGCAATTACCTCTCCAATCTTTGGGCATTTTTTTCTTTTTTTTTTTTTCCTTTGGGCCTTTTTAAGGTGGCAATCCAACTCTGTAAAAGCAATTTTGTCCAGTGTGAGAGGATGCCATCTTCCTTTACTGCCTGCCTGAGTTCTATTAACTCTGTAGCTCATTCCTGAAATTCTGACTTCAAATCAGAGCCATGGGAGGAGACACAAAGTTTGCCAGGGTCTTAATTTGAGGTTTGTTGGTTTTTGTTTTTGTTTTTTATGTTTTGTAACAGAATCATGTAGATTGCGAAACTGTCCCATGGTAAAGGGTAGGAGAGCTGAGAGGCCATGGAGTTACTCAATTTCTCTTTCATTTATTCACCCATTTAGTTAGTTAGTTAGTTAGTTAGTTAGTTAGTTAGTTAGTTAGTTAGTTAGTTAGTTAGTTAGTTAGTTATTGGTGTAGTTTTGTTGGTTAGGGCAAGTAG